GCATTATCCTTATTTGTCCAGCTGTTGAGCATACCAATTGACCTAATTAAGTACCTACTGATAATTCAATAAGATATCATTATCATTTTTTATTACATAACGAAAACATCCTTTTGCCCGAAATGTATTAGAGCTTTGTCAGTGACGTCATATAACGTAAAATTGTCGGCCATTGAACAGCTGATGGGGGGACAAGCATACACATTTTCCATAAGGGTACATGACGTAACTTTCTTGCACATTTACCACTAAAATACAATACCTGGAGCATTTATTTATTGACATGTTTGTTGATTTATTCATCATGAATCCTGTGAGAGAAGTGAATGAGGCCAGAGAAAAGTTCAAATTGGTTTATTTGTCAATTTTAAATTACTGGATTTACTTGAATTCAGCTCGAATATACCTAATATACCTCGTAATATACCTCAATAGATACTCATTTTGGAAGAAAATTTACACATTCTCCTTGTATAATATCTACAAGTTGAACAAAATCACCAATGGGTCAGAAATAATAAAATCAAAATTCACACACAGCTTTGTTTGTCCCCCGATCAGCTGATGAAAACGACGAGTGCGCCATGTTGTGACGTCAGCAGACATTGCTCTATTTCAATTAAAGTGCTCAAAGAAACAAGTGGACCACTGAAATATTTGACAATTTTCAAACTGCCATATCTTTTTGGAAAATGAATGGATTTTCAATTGGAATGCGGTGCTTGGAAGAGGCAATCTTTCTGTTCAAGATTCCTCGTTCAAAACTCGTCGGTAGTTTTTCTGTCATTATACACCGAGTGTTCGAAAAAAGTATTACAAAAATGAGAGAATTCGAACGCTTCCGTATTCCATGGAATTTTTTTTATTTTTCTATCAATAATTTTTTCCGAACGTTCAAGCCAATATCTCGAAACGGTTTTGTAATTTTCCATATTCCTCATACAGGATGTTCAAAATCGATAATTTTTCATTTGTAGATTTTTATCGCATCATTTCAGATTTTGAAATTATGCAAGCCACATTCAACGTATTTTGCCACTCTATACGATGGAACACATCCTAGAAAATGGATCGATGTTGACAGTTGTCAAAGCTTCGACAGGAAGGATTATATTGGGTGTTGCAGTGGTATTAATTGCGTAAATGGGTGTTGATTACAAGAAATCGACTTTTTCGATTGATTTTCGATCACGCGATGAAGAACCTTGTGATAAATAGGTTTCTTGACTTCATGTCAGCTCATGAATATCTTGAAACCATTGTAGCATCGTCATTGTATGAATTGTTTAGAAAAATCCAGAAGGGCCTTCTGGCGCCCCCTTGGATTGCCTTATCTGAAAAATCACTAAATCAGTTCGAGATATTGAGCAGAGCAATCGATCCAAATGAATGATTTGTGTTTGGCATCTCTGACTAAACTGAACAGACGATTTCACCAAATTCTGAACATTTAAAAAAATATATTCTTCTCCTGTTGAAGTAGTCGATGATTTCAATGCAATATGAATCCATTTTCTAGGATGTGTTCCATCGTATAGAGTGGCAAAATACGTAGAATGTGGCTTGCATAATTTTAAAATCGGAAATGATGCGATATAAACCTAAAAATGAAAAATTATCGCTTTTCAACATCCTGTATGACGAATATGAAAAATCACAAAAACGTTTCGGGATAATGGCTTGAACGTTCGGAAAAAACGATTAATAGGAAAATTAGAAAAAATTCCCTGGAATATGGAAGCGTTTGAATTTTTTCCTTACTGTAATACTCTTTTCGAAGGAATCTTGAACAGAAAGATCGCATCTTCCAAGCACTGATTTGCGATTGAAAATCCATTCATTTTCTAAAAAGATATGGCAGTTTGAAAATTGTCAAATATTTCAGTGGTCCACTTGTTTCTTTGAGCACTTTATTTATTCCTCTGAAAAAATCGATGGATATTTTTGTTTTATCGTCATTGCTTCTCCTGGATGAAGATATGGCTTTGGGGCATTTTGTGTGAGCAATTCTCTGATATCCTAAAAGAGAATGGAAAATAATGTGATTCCATATTTACTGCCCCATTAACGTTTTTTCTTGGCAAAACAGATACAAGCGAGAATCCCGACTCGAGTAGAGTTTATTTACATTGTGTTTACGAATTTTTGGCATGGTTCCAGAATGGCAAAGGGAAGGAATTTAGAAAATATATGTTGTTTCGTTTCTTCTTCATAGAATAATATATACTATTAAAGTTCTAATACTGAATTTTCTTCATAAGATATTTGTCCATTTTTCGTTGAGTACGATGAAATGGATTAATAATGAAAAAAATAGGTCGATTTTGGTTTAAAAATGAAATATTATTTTTTAATGTTCCTCATTTCGTATTATTATAGGATTGATTCAGGCTAGCAGTATAATTTTGATGTTTTTGAGATATATGTATACATATACACTGATAGCAGGGCACCTCACTATACAGGGTGTCCCAAATATATTCATATTATATATTAATTCTGCAGATGAGAATAAGAAAAAATTGTCTTATCAACAGGTGTCCGAATATAATTCATAAGGGCGTTAGAGCCCTTCGAAGGTAGGTCCTTGAATGCAGTTTTTTTTTCAATTATCTTTGTTATCATTGATCCTGGAAGCACGAAATTTGGTACCTGAGGGTGATTTGATCTTGGAAATCGTTTCATGATACGAAAAACATGATTCAATACCGTAGCTATAAAAATGCCCCAATTTTGTTTGTTTCAAGATTCATCTCAATTCTACTACCAGAATATGATTCGTCAAACACTTCTACATGAAAAAGGTGTTCTTGTTGGAATGCCGAAAAACGAACCGTTTTCGAAAAAAAGGGTCATCTGATCTGATATCTAAAGAAATATTGAACAGATTCTCTCAAGACACTCGACACTCATTTTAAAATAATTTAAATTTCGTAGTGTGTCATTATAGTGTGTATCATCTTTTTTCTTTATGCAGATCAATTCCATTATATTTTGAATATAATTTCGCTTTCATTGACATAACCATGATACAAATATGATGAATATAAATATTTTGAAGATTTGTCAAAAGGCAGAGTTCAAAATTCTGTTCGATAACAGATTTTTTCTGCAACCGACACAAAAGTCGTTCATTTTGATACCAAAATTAGCTCTTAAATTGACGTTTCTATTACTGACACAAAAATTGGTATGTTGCTAGGCAACATATTTAGTTCCTAGGAGCTAAAGTTGAATTTTAGTTCCTAGGAGCTAAAGTTGAACTTTAGCTCCTAGGAACTAAAAAGGATCTACTGGACGTCATCAAGAATAAACAACATTGTGACGGTTGGTTATTTGGGTTGAGACGCATACCTGATTTGTTTCCGATTCCAGCAGATTTGGTATTTCATACCCATGCTGGAGATATGAATACACCTTATTATAGTTTAGTATTGGAATTATAAACATCTCATCAGTTAAGTATTTTTGTTTTGATCAGGGAAGCCTTCAAGATTCAAATACTTGCTTGATCTGAATTTCATTCGTTATTCTCGGGATGGATAACTTGTTTTTGAATAATCACGGCAAGCAATAGTTTTGTGTCTCAAACAACGATATTGTTTAGCTTCATTTGATTATCAAGTCAAACACAGTGTAGTATATGGAGAGGAATAAATAATCAATATTACCATTGTTGATATATGCTCACTAACCTAACATTTTCCACGTCTTGTTCCTATAGCTGGCACTGGCGCGGTATTTGCCATTAGAGCACCTGGTCCATACACAAATATGTCACTCTGTGGTTGTATTTATATTGAAACTACAATTCGAACATCCTAAAAAACCTAACCTGCTGTTAATGCAGGTAGAATATTCTCAACACATGGATTATTTGTCAATATTTGTTGCATTGCATACATATGGCACGGATTGGTGGTTACTTCACATGTTTATTTGAGTTAATTATTTCGGTTGCAGAAAAAATAGCATGTTTCATTCGGATCAAAAGTGACTTTGTTCGACTCGCAAATTTTGCTTTCGCTCGGCTTCGCTAAACGCTCCGCCTCGCAAATGCAAAATTCGCTTGTCAAACAAAGTGTCACTTTTGATCCTAATAAAACAATCTACTATTGTTCTTCCACATATACGTTTGATATGGGAACATTATTTGCTGCATTATTCAAAAAATGCCCTACTGCCCCCCTGAATGAAATCCTGGCTACACCAAAGGTCATCATGTGCGATGACATGAAAACTACGGAAAAAATGTCTAACTTTCAATCTAAGCCAAGATTTAGGAATGTTTTCCCGTAGATTTCATGTCATCGCAACGTCATATCATGACCTTGAATACCGCGAATTGTCTATGAATCTTGATAAAAGTCAGATGGTGCATCTAGCTAGATGTTCTATTATAAATATATCAGTTTTTTTTTTCAATTTGACTTCCAAAAATTTTGGCAGCAGTAAGTCCTAGTTTCTGTTGTGAATAATGTGTCCCTTCATCCTGAAGTAGAGTTTTTCATGATATTCATTGAATTGAGATTTTTTTAAATTGGAGTGAATGCGTGAATATTTCACAGTGGTGTCTCGCTTTCAAGAGAAGTGACAGGGCTTTTTCTATAAAGGATATTGCCATTACCTTCCGATTCCTCAAAAAACATGTATCATCCATTCAAGTAAAAACTTGACCTCAGCACAATCATTCTAAAAATACACAAGAATTAAATGCCGCTTTATCACATACTAGAAATGCTGTTTCGGTTTTCTGATTAAAAATCCATTAAAGCTGCACTTCTAAAAATTTTATCGCTCAATTTCTGCTGTACCATGCATAATAGTTCGACTAAAAGCAATCTAGTTGAAACTCCGTTTCTATGAATATCAGTAGCTAAATGCCACTATAATATAAACATTATTGGTGAAACATTTTTTTTTGCAAAATCTGCATGTGTATGTTTATGATTTTGCTTTTCCTTATTTTCGTGATGGTGATTTTGTGTCTTTCTACGCAGATTTTACCGAAGCAACCTGTGCCACACACGACTTTGCAGAGGCACGTCAGAGCACACAGAAACGTCAATATACCGAGGTTTCATTTCCCTTCGGGCAAACCGGTGCCTCCTGGACAATCGGATGTCATCAAAACGAAGGTGAGGAAAAAACACCTTGAGATATATGTAACAGAAGGACTAAGATCTCTTGTTCAGAAATCAGATTATCGTGGTTTTTATCTGACTATTCCACTCTTGATCTCGAGAACCAATCAGAATCGACCATTTTCATGGTTTCTTCTGTATTCTAGCGATATTTTTTGTTTATTAAATTTTATCGGACTTGCTCTACCAATACAGAAGCCGAATTGATCCACACGTGACCAACTAACCTCGTTTATCAGCGATAAAATTTTGACATCGTGTCTGGTCAAGATTGCTTTGGATTCATATCTGAGACAATAACCTAAGTTCCTACTTCATTTCATTTACTTATAATTCGCGTTAGTGGGATATTTTGTACGAAAGGCGAGACAATTTTATTCTAGCTGGACGTTTCATGTGTAATTTAAAAAGTTTGGATATTTGTTGACGGTCTGACACAACAATAATAGAATTCAAATTCCGTTTTGAAGTAATCTTCTTCAATTACTCAAGTTATTGTGACTGACTGATATAATTACTAGCTCAACTGCTAAATCTCATAACTAAAAGATCTAGGATGAACAGAGTTGCCCCAATCGTCAGCAGGAGCGAGACAGTACTGTTTCGACCCACCAGGTCTCATCAGCCGCTCTCGGTCTGCTGACAACTGGGACAACTCTACGCTTCGGGTATATCACCCATTTTGAAGACGCAGGGTATAACATGAAGTTGTAGTCATGTTCTACTAGCTGATGTGGCGCAACTGTTAGGGTTGTTGCGCGAGGATACGAAGGTCGATGGTTCAAGCCCTCGGCGACGATATCTTTTTCTTTTTAAATAATTCCATGTCACATGAATTCAATTTATTTTGTTAGAATTGGATAGTAATTGTATGCACTCTTTTGAAAGCAACCATCTCCAAGATAATAAAAAAAATACTGTTTATCAAAGTGAATAACTATAAGTAGGTAGTTAATTTCGAGGTTAATTTCTAAAAAAGTAAATTCTGTATTTCATTACTATCATTATGTTCTTCTTCGCAGTTCGAGTTGAAATATACTTAAATTATGTTTCCTATTTCTTATATATATTGTCTCATTCAATCATGAAATAGTCATACGAATACAACTCGTGATACTATTTTTCCTGGACATATTCGTCGATTGACATACTCCAGCTTGCTGCTCTAATTTCGTTCATGACATTCATCCAAAACTACTCGCTTACGGCTCGTAGTTTTGATAACAATGTCATTCACGAAATTACTAGGCAACAAGCTGTCGTAACAATCACTGAATATTTCCGGCAAAATATTATCACTTGTGGTATTATATATGAAAATTCCACACCAGTGATTTTTATACAGTTAAACTGGGTTTTTATGACAGATTACCATAGCTCATGAATATTTCGAAAATTATCCATCGTCTTAGACTTGGAATAATTTTCAAAATATCCATGAGAACGAAAAAATTTCCGGAAATAATTTGACCTCTAGTGGTTGAGTTATAGTATCTACGGAAGTTATAGTAATAGTTTTTGAACATCAACTTAAATGATTTCCTTATCATCATGTTATCCTGATGATGAACAATTTTTGATAATATTTGGTGAAAACACGTGAACATTTTTCGCGCTAGTGCGGTAAAATGCCCCATAACTTCATTACGAATTAGCTCCATTGCTGCTATAGAAAATGTGTAGAATTCCTTTAGCATCATCCAATATCCAGACGTGTTTTTTTCAAGAGGTGATCCAAATAAACCGGTCGTTTTTATCAAAAATTTCAATTTTTCATAGCGACATTTCCACACAATATAGGAACATTATTTACTTTTCGGGATAAAATACGATGGATTCTACAGGGTGTTTCAAAAAAACCTAACCCCCTTGCTAGGGTAGATAGAACATTGCAAGATAAGTTGGGTTTGTTCTGTGAAAAAATGTCGTAACGGCATCCGTTTTCATGATACAAAATGTTGAAAAAATTAATTTTTTACACATTTTTCACGATTATTCCGAAACTACTGGCAACATTGTGATGCAATTTTGCAAGGATGTTTCTTGAAATCTGACACATCGCATGAATTTGTTTTCATATCTGACTCTCATAGAGGGCGCTAGTTACAAGGTTCGTTCCGAGTAGTTTTGAACATAACTTTTTTGAGGTTAGATTTTTCAATCCAAATATGATATGAACTTGAACATCATTCAATTTTACACCAAAAAGGTACTCTTGGTGAAACTCGATACTATGTTCCGTTTTCGGAATATTTCGATTTGAAAATAATGGAGTAATGATGCTGGTTTAAAATGAATTTTATTGAGTTCAATTACCTATTTATTCAGGTTCAAAAACAATAAAATTATTCTTGTGCTGAAGTTATTGATGGAACAAAGAATCATAAGTAGAAAATTGAGAGATATTTGACTAGAAAATATATTGAATCAGTTAGAGTAAGTGTTCAAAACGTTTCGAGGAATACACGATTCAATATTCTTTTTTTAAGAATGTATTATTCTTCTGAACAGTTGTGGATCAGCTGTTAGGTCATTTAAGTGATGTTCAATTATGTCTCACAACTCTTGGCGTGAATTTATCTATGTAGCATAGACCTTCTGCTCAAGATACAACAAAACTGTGTAATCCATATTCTTAGTCAAATCTGTTTCGATGTTATTCTTGTGATTCATTGTTAAATCAATGAGTTTAGCATCAGAAATGTATTGTTGTTTTCGGTTTTCAATAAATAGCTGATAATTTTTCATAATACTCGCTCTAATACATAGCTTTATACCAGCAACAGTTAACACTTCATCATTTTCAAATCGAAATATTCCGAAAACGGAACACAGTATCGAGTTTTACCAAGAGTACCTTTTTGGTGTGAAATTGAATGATGTTCAAGTTCACATCAAATTTGGATTGAAAAATCTAACCTCAAAAAAGTTATGTTCAAAACTACTCGGTACGAACCGTGTAACTAGCGCCCTCTATGAAAGTCAGATATAAAAACAAATGCATGCGATGTGTCAGATTTCAAGAAACATCCATACAAAATTTCATCACAATGTTGCCAGTAGTTTCAACACAATCGTAAAAAATGTGTAAAAAAAATATTGTTTCAACACCTTGTATCTTGAAAACGGATGACGTTACGACATTTTTTTACTGAGCAAACCCAACTTATTTTTCAAAGTATCTGATTGCAGTATGTACTTATCTTGTTCATACACAAATAGCAAAAATACTGTACTTTTCTGATTTTGGAATACGAGTACCGCATTTTCATATTTTCAAAACACTCAACAATTGGAGAAGGAAAGCTCAAAGTCATCTCCACTACTTCATTAATGGTGTAAATCAATCAAAGGGAGATGTTTCGGCATGTGAAAATATACATATTGTTATAAAAAACCAAAAATTGACTTACATGGAGGTGAACATTATATGTTTTTGAAATGGATACCGATGTCTATCATCATAATATCGTGATTGTTAATAAATAGAGGTTGAGAAAAAACAGGTTTTCATTAAAAATGAAGGGCTTCGTGCCCTAAAAACGCGCAGTTATGAAACCAAAAGTCAAGTCCGAGAAGGAAAACTTGACGAGCACTCATAGGTGCTCGTAAAAACCATTTAGGTTGCAAGACAGGAAGAACCAAAGGGTCCCGTACCCTTGAGATAGCGCACTAAAATTCAAAAATCAATTAGAATTGATGGGGCCAAAAGCCAAAAAACGTGTTAAATCCAACTTGAGGTTAGAAACACGGAATTAAATTAATAAACATTGACATAAGTCAAAGTCTTAAATGACACGACTTTGACATCATTAATAAAAGAGATGTTCTGTAAACGCATCTGAGAGCAGATTGAGAGGAAGAAGATTTTCAGTCATGTGACCTCTGGAGCAAATAGATGAATAATATAAAAGAATACTCCTGAGGAGTCTATAAGTCTACTACTGCAATGCCAATAAAAATTGTGATTTCTTACCGATTTGGATCAAAATGTTTCAATTTTCTATTATGGGCACGCCTTTTTCTGTGTGAACTATACTAGCTTCATTCATATTTGGCATTAATATATGAGTAGTTTATCTATGACTTATACAAACTGTGCTGCTTATACTAAACAAATTAATTCAATTCAAACTCAAACCAAACCAGAAACCTGTGCTCAAACTCAACTCCCATAACTGACCTACAGTTTTCAGTCATTCAACAAAAATCTAAGTCCTCTGAATTGATAATCCGAGCAAAACGATTTTTATTTTTTTCCTGGCTGTCAAATCACAGAACGCTCCAAATAAATTGTGTCTTGCTCTAAATGACATTGAAAAACGGCTCCGGAGGTAAACAAGCAAATAAATGTGATTGCAGAACATATCAAAAGTAGTGGAGATTACTTTGAGCTTTCCTTCTTCCTTTTGAAATACTCTACTCCACTTTGAGCAAACATGGACTTCTACCAGAGATTACTCAACAAGTGACCGAATTTCTGATTTGTGTCGTCTGAATGTGATCAAATTGATTTTTTCTATTTAGGTTGCGGCAGCTTTTTCGAAAATCGGTGAAAGGGCATCGAGAGAACATTTCGGCGCTCTCACACAGGCCTGCCAGCTGCCCCTCTATTGGAAAACACCCTTATATTTGGCTGCGTGCGCAGACAAGGGTAGTTGTACCCAAGATCAGTTCATGACTTTTTGGCAGGGGTAAGTCAAGGAGGGCAATCAGAAAAAAGGGCTACTTAACTTGACAAATTTTCATACATTTTTTGGAAACATCAAAAAATCAAAGGACAAGTGTACTATTTTTTCAATAGAATCATCACACAATTACCTTTCAATTGCATATTTTTTTGTTTTTGTTCTGTCGATTTCAAGTTGCTCTAATCATAAAGTCATATTCTTTCAATCTGAACTAACTGGAATATTTCACTAGAACTGAAGTGAATCAGTTAATATGCGTTCTTTGGAATGACGTTGATTATGTACAATGCATGTTTTCAGTTCAGTTCAAGTGAAACGTGTCAGTTCAGAACGAAAGAATATCACTATTGTCACGGTTCAAACGGCTAGAAATTTATCGCAAATAAAAACTATATAACGTCACGATGTCGTAAGTAGGGGCAGATCATAGCACAGTTGCCATATGTTGAAATACGAATGAGAATATTTTGTATTTAATAACTCCCACTTATGTATCAATAATATCCTTAATTGGCTATAAAAAATCCATTGTCTCAAAATTATCCCACTTAAATGTTGTGTCTTATTGCTTATGATGGATGTATGTTGATTAAAATTATATTAATTCACACTAGAAGACATTTGGTCTGGTAAAAGTGACAACACAAGACTGTGGGCGTTGTCTTGTCAGTTCTCAGCGTTCAGTACAGCATTGGCAAGTCAATATTTTATATTTGCATGTTTTATTATGAAGTTTGAGAATTATTTTGACAAGCTGGTTGCTCGAAAAAGTCCCAGATTAATAACTATAATATCATAGCTTCATCCTATTAGGTCAAGAGAAATATTTTGGTGATCTGACAACTTTGCTTTATGAGTGGGAATGGGAGATTATCTGGCCAATAATGAAACATATACCGGGTGTCCCAGTATACCTGTTCCAATGGATTATCTCAGTCATTTCGAAAGTAACAAATTTGAAAATTTCATAATCTCCAATTCGTTCAAGGAACCTTCAACTAAGAAAAACGAAAATTTGAAGTCACTTCCGATTTGACCGGAAGTGACTCTAACTTCTTTATTTCAGATAGCACCCTGTATATTTTTTGCAATTTTCGCTTTCTACTCAAAATTGCCTTTCCAACGATGTATCACACTTTGTATTTTACATTTGATATGATGAAGAAAACGACAACTTGAAATTTGGAATTAAAATCAGAATCATATCCAATTTCTTTTGAATTGTGAAGTTATCATATCATTTTCACGGTTATTCATTTTTGAATGTCACACTCAACCATTGAGAATTATTAACTGTCGAAGATACAAACAAATGTATTCAAATGTTTCCATGGGACACTAAGGTTTTCATTTCAGAATTATTAATTCTTCCAGTTCTACTACATGTTCCTATAATAATTTGAAATTTGACGTTCTCTTCATCATCTCGAATGCAAAATTGTTCATGAATCATCAATTATCGAGGAACAAATCATTATGTACACAAAATATCGTAGTCTACTGCAATTCTTTCAAATCAATTGTAAAATGCAAAGTTTGATACATCGTTGAAAAGGTGAGTAGAAAGCAAAAATTGCAAAAAATATACAGAGTGCTATTTGAAATGAAGAAGTTAGAGTCACTTCCGGTCAAACCGGAAGTGACTTTCAATTTTCGTTTTTCTCAGTTGAAGGTTCCTTGAACGAATTGGAGGTCATGAGATTTTCAAATTTGTTACTTTCGAAATGACTGAGATAATCCATTGGAACAGGTATACTGGGACACCCGGTATAATAATGAAGATGATGGAAAACCCCAATTTCGAGTGACAACGGAAAATTAAAAAAATCTCCACCGCCCCGCGTGAGAGTCGAACTCACAACCTCTGGGTAACATGCCCAACGCTCTGCCAATTGAGCTAACGGGACATCCGTCGATCAATCGGCAGGAAGGTCGAGTTCTCATCACACACCAGGCGGCAGAATCCTTCCAATTCCCGAAGTCACTCGAAATCATGCACTATACGAAGCATCGCTGGCAGGATGGTTCTATACAGTCTCCATTTTTCCCCGTTCGTCCTCTGGCATTGTCTTTCCTTGTATACGGAAATATCCGCAAGCAATCTATACATAGGAGCGAGTGATAATTTTTTATAATTTTTTTCATCTTCCGTTGTCACTCGAAATTAGGGCTTTCCATCATCTTCATCATTATACAGTATGATGCAAATGTATGGAATAAATTCATTTCAAAACAAGACGACTTTCGAAAAAAAAAAAAAACTAGAGTTCAGAACTTTTTTTTCGACGTATTTTTTCAACTAGACGACCCTTCGATGTTCAATTCTCAGTAGCAGACCTCTGCAAGATTCAATTAATCACATGATAATCCATTTTAATTTCAATCTTTTTATGCAACATTTTGACTGTTGAATAGACGATCGGTAGACCTTTCAATCAAGGTGTCACATGACCCCTATTTGTATTTAAAAAAATCGTTCATTACGTCTTTACTCCATCATGCTGGAAGACAGCTAGAGTCCAACCAATCCCCAAAAAAGGGAACAAGAACCTGCCCAACAACTACAGGCCCATTGCCCTGTTATCAGTGATCTCCAAAGTGATGGAGAAAGCCATCAATATTGAGCTTATCAAATATCTGGAGAGCTCAGGAATCATCAATGATAGACAATACGGCTTTCGCCACCGAAGATCTACTGGAGATCTACTTGCCTACGTCACCCATTTATGGCAATCTTCGATAGAAAAACACGGGGAATCTCTAGCTGTCGCGTTGGACATATCGAAAGCATTCGACCGTGTTTGGCACGAAGGACTCCTCCACAAACTACCATCATACGGCTTACCACCTCAGCTATGCCATCTCTTATCGAGTTTTCTTTCAGGCAGATCGCTTCACGTGGTGGTGGACGGTGTATCGTCTGATACCATTGGCATCAATTCCGGCGTTCCACAAGGATCAATTTTGGCACCAACATTATTCCTGCTTCATATCAATGATCTGTTGGGAGTAACAACTTGCCCCATCCACAGCTTTGCAGATGATAGTACCCTCCATACTGCGTTCTCTTCCAGAATTCCCATTTCTTCCCAGGAAACTAAGAACTCACGGCGCAGGCAGGTCAATGCTGTCAATGAAGATCTTGCTGAAATCACAGCCTGGGGAACGAACAACCTAGTTGAATTCAACGCCACCAAAACTCAAGCCTGCATTTTCTCTAGAAAGGCGGAACTCAGTATGCCCGATATTGTAATGTCTGGCTCCACCATCCCCACCAATCCCACCATATCTATGCTCGGTATTTCCATCAGCAACACTCTTTCATGGGATAATCATGTCAGATCCATCGCAAAAGCTGCTTCACAAAAACTCGGATTCTTGTTCCGTGCGAAAAGCTACTTTACACCTCAACAGCTTCTCATGATCTACAAAGCGCAGATACGGCCTGTTCTAGAATACTGTTCCCACATATGGGGTTCAGCACCAAAACATACTTTTCTATCGATACTTCCACGTGAAATGTTCTTCGGAAATCTCTGCAATCATCCCTTCACTAGCAATACCAATCAGACGAACTAGACAAGCCCAGTCAGCACATCCTTTCGTTGTCAACCTCGAAAGATGTCGAACAGCACTTTATCAAGACTCCTTCATCCATAGAACGGCTAGGCTCTGGAATTCATTGCCTGTGGAAGTATTCCCAACAACATATAATCTCCAAAAATTCAAAAAAAAATCCAATACCTACCTCCTGTCCCTATCCTCCCTAGGAACGCACGATGTTCTTTGAACATTATAGGGATTCCCTTTCGTGCGCTCTAATCGATAAAAAAAAAAAAAAAAAAAAAAAAAAAAAAAAAAAAAAAAAAAAAAAAAAAAACACCGGTGACGTAACATCTCTCATATGAATATCATGAGATGAGGCTTCAAAAATTAAAACTCACGTGTTTTTGGAATTTTTTCAAATGTCGCCCATTTCTGAAATAATGAATTTATTCCATACATTTGCATCATACTGTATGTATCTTTTCGGTCGAGTAACAAAAAACAATCTGTCTCAAAAATCAATCAATTTTTTTTGTTTTAAGTATGTCCGCCCAATGCCACGATTCGGCCGCCCGGTTCGTCTACATCCTGACCAGGGGTCGTAGGGTCTGGTTGGCGCCCGAGGACTTCATCCCTCTCGTTCAGGACGTGGTGGAAACGCACCCCGGCCTGACTTTCCTCAAAGAAGCCACCGAATTCCATTCGAGATACGTGCATACGGTCATAGCCAGGATTTACTACTGCGTGAACAGGTTAGAAAACGTTGAAAAATTAGAGATAAACGTTGAATTTTGCCACATTGATAGGCAACGACAAACCAAACCCCAAAACATGAAGCGGTCCTCGTTCTCAATCCATCACGTTTAGTGTGCAATGATAGCGGGTGGAGGACGCTGGGCCGCCCTGAATATATCATGTTTATCCTGGTTTATCGGGAGTCTTTACTATCTTTCATTCTTTGCTATAAAAATTACATTGCATCTCATATAAATATATAGTTATTTAACCAACTAGTTTATTAATGAGGGCGATTAATGATCGAGATATTTTAACGTGCGAGCGAAGCGAGTGCGTTAATGTTCGAGATCATTAATCGCTTTTTAATATACAAGTTGGTTACAAAATTTTTCCGTCGACTATATTTCTCATTTCTCCTGCAATGAAGAAAACTTGGTTCGCGAATTCATCATTCATCTGGAAACTGCTAAGAATCACCCAGTAGCCTTGTTACTGACATTAGTGTCATTTGACATTTGTCGAAATGATCAACATAGAAAATAAATTCCTTGTGTTAGAAAATAGGGATTGAAATCGTGTCAGAAACTTGGAAAGGTGAACCCGCTAACAGAAAATCTTCAATGAAATCCATATTTTCGATTTAAATGCAGATTCCGTAAGTTATAGCATAAACAATGAATGCACGCGGTGTATGTTTGGTTGCCTATGAAACAATCGTACATTAATAGACAAATCGTTCATTAATAGGGGTCATTAATGAACGATTTCATATACATTAAACTTAGTCGTTAATACGAGGTCGACGGAAAAATATATTTATTAACATTTACAATGAAATAACATGAATAATCAGATAGATTCATATCTGGTATGAGATTATTCATGCGTTATTAAATTAAATTATACAATGCAGACTCGATAATCCGAACGTTCAATAATCCGAATTCTTCAGTAGTCCGAACAAGCATTTTTAATACATTGAGTACTCTATAATCCGAATTTCATAGTACTCGATAATCCGAACCTATACCTTTAGGCCTATTTATTTCCTATAGAAATTGTGGTTCGGAGGCATTTAAGAAATCATGATTTGCCTGAAAAGGCGCTATTAATCATAGATAATGCCTCAAGTCATGGAACTATAGAAGAGCTAACTAGTGAAGATGGAAGATTTACAGCATTATTCCTCCCACCAAATTGTACAGCACTCTTGCAGCCTATGGATCAAAATGCTATCCGACTAACCAAATTATTTTACCGAAAAAGCCTTTTAGCGCACATTTTGTCAAGTAACGAAGACAGCCTTGTTACGTTGTTAAAAAGGCTTAACATAAAGGATGCAGTCTGTCAGCTATACAACGCTTGGGAAAAGGTCTCTTCACAAGTCTTGGAGAAGTGCTGGAACAGAATTATGTCAGACAACAATGTCAATGATGCCGAAGATCTAATTCCTTTAAGTGAATTACGCCGAAATATGCTTTCTTTAGATGGAGATATGGAAGGTAATTTTTTTTTCATGTTTTTTTTGCAAATTTTTCTTATCTAACTCTAATTTTTAGAGGTTGGTGAAATGCTTAATGTTTTGGCAGAGCCAAATCTTACAAACGTGGAAATATGTAATTGGGTGGAAAATGATGAAGATTTGTTACCGTTAGAAGAAGCAGATGAAGATGAACCTGAAGTTGGCGACCATGAGGAATTAGATAATCCAAACAAAACTGTTAAGAACGCTGAAGCAGCTAAAAGTTTTAATCTGTGTTTGAAATGGGCCGAAGAAAATAATATTCCGTTAAATGATCTTCTTGTACTTCAAAGATTAAAAGAAATGGCCTTTATAAATAATCAAAGATGTGTTAAGCAAACAAAAATTACAAATTACTTTAGAAACTAGTATTATATTCTTACTTTTATGCATATTTTAGTGTTACTTTTTCGTATTTATGTTTTTTTTGCATTTCATAATAAAATATTGAAAAAAAAACTGCTTCGGTAATCCGAATTTTTTGGTAATCCGAATCGCCTTGGTTTTTATTAGTTCGGATTATCGAGTCTGCACTATTGAAATAAACAACAGATTCAAAAATAATATGATAAAACAAAAAGTAGTGAATGAGAAATCATTCACACAGGTTTGATTTTCTCTTTGCAAGAGGATATGTTTCTTGACTTCAATTTTGAATTGGGTTATATTTGTGCAACTTTTGATATCATCAGGTGATTTATTGAATTTTGAGATAGTTCCGTGAGTGAACTTTTTTTGGCCAAGTGTAGAATTAGCAGCATCAAGATCATATTGTGTAGTATGATGTTCATGGATTTGAGAATTCCTTGCCAATATGAAGTTAGATTTGAGGTGTTTGTTGATGATATCAAAAGAAATTTTGAGAGTATTTATCAGATAGTGCTCTTCCAAAGAAAATGTATTTGTTTCTTCATGAAGTTGATTTGATGGGGTGTCATATGGAACACGATACAGTACTTTCAATGCTTTTTTATATAGTACAGATATTTTGTTGAAACTATTCTTGGAGCATGAACCCCAAATATTTATGAGATAGTTCATTTTACTTAGGATGTGAGAGTATAGAACGGTATTCGCTATATTTGGGATAAGTTTTGGACTTCTTCTTAGGGCACTTGACGAAACTCCTGTGTTAGCAAAACATGTCATGTGTTTGAGAATTTTGTAAAAATCTTATCGTTTGTGAAGTTTTTACATTTGCCATCAAGTAACGGGCGAGTCAATTCAAAATATGTATGAGTTGAAAAAAAATCTTTTCTGATTTTTAGGTCTTGGTCTGGAAAAGTCACGATACCGGAATTGAGGAGATCGAACCTGTTGGCCATCATACAACTTCTGGAAGAAGAAGAGGACATCAACCAGATCACTCAGTTCTTCAGCTATGAACACTTCTACGTGATCTATTGTAAATTTTGGGAGCTAGACAAGGATCACGATTTGTTCATAGACAAGCAGGATTTGACGAGGCACAACGATCACGGTAAGATGGATATCTTCACTTTCGTGCGAGTATTGAAATTATTTTTTCTACGACGCATCATTTTGATGTTTTTTTTTCGAATCAATAGGGTTGTCAAAAAATTGAAAATCGATCAAGACAAAGTTCTCACGTCATATATTCCATATTTGTTATAGGTTTGATAGGGTTAATTCAAACGATTCGCAATAGCAAAACTTCTTTCTCTGTCCCACTTAAAATAACTTGAAATAACCCTATCAAATCGTTACCATCGAGACACCTACAGCAACCCATTGGAATTAAAGATATTGGCAAAAATTGTGGTGAAGGTAAACTTCACACCTACTTATACAGGGCCCGCAGAACATAAACTTATCGTGAGATTGATCGAAAGAAAATTGTGGAAAATGTATTTTATTTTGATAGACATGCCGTTTGTTATACCTAATTACCTATATTTATCTTGGAGAATTCTTATCACCAAAAAAATTAGCCAGTGAGTGTTTTCAATTTCCTGTTGTTGGATTTTTTACCCAATTGATCGTTAGATTTGAGACAGTAATTTTTAAGGGTAAAACTGCATTTATCATGCGATGGTTTTTTTTTCGAATTTTTTTTTGTACTTACGTATTTTTGTCTGTAAAACCACTATTTATCGAGATATTTCAAGAAAAAGTTCGAAATTTCGCCTTCTTTCTCCCCATGTGTTGGGGTATTTAAAGCTACTTGCTCTTCTTATTTTGTCATTGGACACTTTATATACTCATGATGTACTTCGATGACACATTTTTATATAGAAAATTCAACAGGAAATATGATTTTTATGGCGAGTTTTTCATATTTAGTGAACAAGCATTCCAGATGACGGCCATTTAATAAAGCTTTTCTCTTTTTAATCTACTCATACTTTTTATGAGAGAGTAATTGTCTTCTATTATTAATTCATCATTATAAATTAAGCTCTGTTTACTACTGTACTTAGCGAGTAAAATCCTCGCGGTGAATTGCATATACCCACTTTTTCGATAGTTCCTCGTCCAACGGGAAACTAAAAGCATGAACTTTTGGACCACCCACATAATTTCTCCGACAAAAGGGAACACAACACTTCAAAGGCATTGTTATTTCGCCTATTACAACACAAAATATTTCACAAAACAGTAATTTTTCCGCCAATTATTATGATGAATAAACAACAGAAGAATTCGGGACCGCTTCAAAAACAAACGTGAACCACCGAACATGAATTAACACGATCTGACGCCTCAGTCGACACACTGGCCTCTCTTTGGTGACGTCACGAGCTGTTTACGTCAGAGTCTACTGGCCTTCTAATCTCGATGGTAACGATCAAATCCGGTATCGTTGAATTCGTTATGATAATCCCTAACCGATTATGGAATAAAATACAGGGTGTCCTATTTAAAAATCAAAAGTTAGGGTCGTTGCCCGTGAAACCGGAAGTGATAGAACAAAAATTGGTTTGTCGATTAATGAGCAATTCGGTATACTTGCTACCCACCAATTTTCAGAATCCGATCTCAAATGATTCAGAAGTTACAGCACTGGCCGTTATTTTGCAATTTGATTCCACCCTTATTCAGCGATATCTGAAGCCACCGCCGTTACGGATTCCGAGAGTTCTTATGAGAACGGTGCCGAGATGCTGGCTTTGCGTATTCACTTGAATATTATTTCACATTTTATAGTCAGTCTGACTTTAGAATTCTTACTGTTCACTTGGTACCTGATCTTGATTTCTGTTAAAGTTCTTCTCCGAAATGAATCTTCTTAAAAATAAGATTTCACGGATTCAAACTTTAACTTGCACTTCTCTGTATATCCCTATTATAAACAAATATGTTTCTTGGCAGGCGCGGTCGCAGCCCAATCATTTGGGGGGGGGGGTCAACTTGAAACAGGAGAGGACAATTTTTATTTTCTCTTTAGATAACTCATTCATTTTATTTTACTCATTTTACATAAGCTATTGAAGTAACCCTCAGAAGCCCTTGAAAGGCTTGTGCGACGGGATCTCCAGTTTGAAGAAGTGGAAATCAAACCACTGTGACATTTAGGCTCCATTCCATATGATATACCATGCACTGAGCATAATTTAACCCAATCTAAGAAGCGCCAAGCTCAATAATCGAACCTACGACCTCTTGATTACAAATGTGATCGCCTGCCCGTTCGACTTCTGACCGAACTAACGGAACAAAAAACAAATAGAGCATAAATCGTATAGTATATATAAAAACATTTATTCATGGAAATGTTAACAAAAAACTCAGTTACAAACTACAAGAAAATCTTCTATTGGATTTGGAGAATCGGTTGATCTCCAACGCGTTAGGAGAGATTTCGGGATGTATATGGATGTATAAGAGCTAAGCCCGTAAAATCTTGATATTAGGATATAAGTCATTGTCACAAACTCAAATTGTACAAGGGATACAACTGGTCACGTTTGAACTATTTTCTGCGAGCTCTCACCTCCACTTTGAAATCCATAGCTGATACTTTGTAACGACCGAAGAAGCAGGAACTCCCAGATAATGAGTATAGAATTCTGCTGCCTTCTTCACATTTATTAGGTCATCCTCAGTATATTCTGATTTTGGCATAAAAATACCTAAGCCAAACAGGTTCAAAGTATCCTCAGAAAGGCGGTCTTTCAGATCATTCGTTCTTCGGTAATATTCCTCTTCGTTCCCTTGGTGATTATCGGGATGAGTCTGCCGAGATACAGTACGTGGTGCAGATTTGGGGGGGGGTCATGACTCCTGTGACCCTTCCCCCCTCGGACCGCGCCTGTTTCTTGGGGTAATAAAGAACAACAACAAAATGGTTGAGAATGATTTCTTTTCGTCCAGCTCTATCGACCCGCATCATCGACCGAATCTTCTCGGGCTGCGTGACACGCGGCCACAAAAAGCACCAGGACGAGAAGATGTCCTACACGGATTTCGTGTGGTTCCTGCTGAGCGAGGAGGACAAGTTGCACCCGACCGCTGTGGAGTACTGGTTCCGGTGCATGGACCTCGACGGCGACGGGTTCCTGTCCATGTACGAGTTGGAGTACTTCTACGAGGAGCAGATGCACCGGATGGAGGCCATCGGGATCGAAACGTTGCCCTTTCAGGTGAGATTCATCCCTAAATCGTTGAAAAGTGTACGCTAACAATCCGAAACGCCAAACACGGATAGATGAATGATATCGCCAATGGTGGGGATAATCATACGGAATTATTGCCAGAGAATTATTGACATTCTTCATAGATATATTTTATACAGAGTGAGTCAGTTTTTTGTAGCAGGACTTCGACAGCTTCAGGTGAAGCAGATATAAAAGTTAGATGAGAGAAATACATTAAAAATGTTATACATTTTAATGATCTTTTGAAACTGAAAAATGTATCATTTCCTTTCATTTCATGGAATGGAAATTGAAACGATAAAGTGTTCGAGTTTCTCGAAAAGAAGTATCAACTAGTAGAATAAAAATGCTGACTTTCTCATCACCAACAAGTGTGACGAATTATTCTCCAGGAATTCTCTGCAATAATAATTAATGTGCTGTATCTTTTTCAGGATTGTTTGTGTCAGATGTTGGACATGGTGAAACCGAAAACGCCTGGCAAAGTGTCTCTCAGCGACCTGAAGAGGTGCAAGATGACCGCCATTTTCTACGACACCTTCTTCAATCTGGAAAAATATCTGGATCACGAGCAGAGGGATCCGTTCGCATCGCAAAGGGATCACGATCTGGACGGTCAAGAGGTGAATATCCGTAAATCAATTGAATATATTTTGTCTTGAGTAATGTGTTCGTTGAGTCGTGTTCCCATTTTTCTACGCGTTTGTCCAATGTATTCAAATCGACTCGAACGTCATCATGTCTCCATCAAGTAAGAAATGTGTTCAATGTTTCGTGTTTGATCAATCAGGGTGATTGACTATGGATTTCACGACTTCAACAGCTGATATCTCGGAAACGCGAAATGATATTTGAAATTTGGAAAAAGGTACTTGAATGAGATGTCATTTCCTTCTAGAAAATGTGTTCTCTGCTTGATTTTTGTCATTTTATATACAGGGTTTGTGGAAAAAAATGTTTTTTTCAAATGGAACCCCCTGTATATTATCGCATATTTCGAAAGAGCCCTCTTTCCTTATTTCGAAAATATATACTTTCCATATTTTCTATCGAGGGCTTGACGAAACGGCATACCAACGTGAATAGAATACTAACGCTTCTACCACGTGGCACGCGGCTACCTGGCCTCCTGATATACCTCAATTAATATTTGAATCCCACTTTCCTGTAATATTCCATCTCTCGTATGTCAGTAAACGTATGCGATATGTTGTCTCAAACTATTCAGCAATGTGTTCTTGAAATCGTGTTCCTTTATCTCGATCTATTCGTCAAATGTATTTCAATCGTGTGAAACGATATCGTTCTTGTCTCCAACATGGTGTCCAATATGTTCCTTAAATCGTTTTCATAGTTGTCTATGTGTTTGTCCAATATATTTTAGTTTTTATAAGACGATATTTCTAGGAATTGAGTAATTGGTTTTTTAATCGTGTTCTTCGTATAAAGCGATGTCTCAAACGTTTTTATTTTTGTAGATGTCCGATTGGGACAGATATGCCGCTGAGGAGTACGAGCTTCTGGTAGCTGAAGAAGGAGGGAATGACCAACAAGATAGCCTGTAAGTACTATCTTTATTTTCCGTACGTTCTACATTCTTCTTTTTTTTTGTTATTTTAATTTTTATGTTTACTTATTTCTGTTATCTTTGTTGAATATTTTCGATGGTTATCTCCATTTTAGCCATGTGTTAGTGACTTGAATAATTCTGTTTTCACCTTCATTTCTGACATTTCATTAATCATGGTAGTGAGATATTAATGACTTTGGTTGTATCTAGGGAATACGATTGTGGCTATGATAGGGTAAGAAAAGGCATGATGATTGGAGTTATACAGTGTGTTCTTGATCTAACAAAAAAAAAAGGCTATCGTTAATACTAACCCAGCTTTGTTCACTATTCTTGTGATGACAGTAATCTCGAAAAAAATCGTCAAATGCTAAGAAATCAATTGTTATGTGTCTTTGCTCAGCTTCACTAATAACTGTAATGTGAATGTTTCTTGGAATCCTGCAATAGAAAAACAACTAACTCATATTGCTTAAAAGTGATTAACTTCTCTTGTGTTTTTAAATGTTGTGCCTGAAATGTGTTTTGAAGATTGTTTTCCCACTACACTGAATTTTTCAAAAAATTCACGAAAAGTAACACAATTCCTTCAAATATCTCGTAATAATCTCATGCATTGCAGTTTTATTTTGATATTTTGTCTGTAGCGCTCGCAAATATTATTGACCGAAATCAGGAAAACTGATAACAATCACTCAAAAAAGTGGAGTTTGTCTGGTATGTAGGTGGTTATGCGTTACCTAGCTTCAATTCAAACACAATTTGACATTTACAAACGAAAACAAAGATACTTGTTGCAATCATTATTCGTTTATGATTACACGAATCGTTGAAAGGACTTGGAGTTTTTACTCACTGATCCGTTCAACCTCCATTATCAATGATTCGATCACTGCATATCACTAAAAATTATGATTCAAATGAAAATGACGTATGTTTGATAGGTTGCATCTGTCAGATTTTCTAGAAAACCTGGAATACCCTGTACAGGCTGTCCCATTTTCGATGTCCTTACGGGATATCTCGCTTAATTTTGTAGATAGAGATTTGCGGTTTTCGCGAACGTTGGCTACTTTTTTGTGAAACTCACGAAACCGTGAACAAAATTTCCATAGCCCGCTTCGTTCCTCAGATACGGGGCGAAATTGAAAATATTGCATTTTGGGACCCCCCCTGTATCTCAGCTAACTTTTAACTTAGAGGAAAAGTAAGAAGTGTTTCTTTCACAATTTTTCACGAAGAATCCAGTGGCGTAGTCAGATTTTTTAAATGAGCTGTCGTTATTTAGATATAACCCAAATTTATGTTTTTTTTTTTAATAGAACACCCTGTATATTTTTTTTTCAAAAATATATAACACATATGATATTTTGAATATTAGTCCTGTATTTGGGTAATTTTCAGTTTTTTATGTAGGTTTCTTATTAATAGGCCTTGTAAAAATGTGACAACATTATCCACTTCACAAATTTTCATTTCCCTTATTGCTGACACAGTGTTTCGTCACACACTTACCACATTTACCAATATTCAGTACTATTAATTGACTATGAAAGCTGTGGACCTAATTAGTAGGTAGCTATAAAAAAAAACACGAATGCAGATTATTTACAATTCTTGTCACCTACCTGTCAAAGTTTACAAATTGTTCATACAATGGCAAATTATAATCCAGGATATCAGAACTACGGGAAATTAAATATGGTTGGGATATATTACCAAGTTGGCTCAAAGCAAATCAAGGGAAGGACCTATATTTTGAAAGGTATTTACTATCTCCCAATTGCTGGGTATCAGTTAGTTACAATATGATAAAAAATTTAGGTATCCCGAGAGGAGACAACCAAGTAGGAAAATATTTGGCAGACTGAAAGAAAATTTGGAAAATTTTGGATCTTTTGAGAAGCCTAGACCAAAAAGTTATAGGAAAGAAAATGCCGAAAACGATGAAATTAGTGTCCTCGCAAAGGAGAAGAAAGCAATAATTATACTTTTTGCAGAGAAATTGAAGAATCATTAGGCATTCCAAAGACAAGGGTTTCCAAGATATTGAAAAAGAACAACCCCTACATACCACAAACTATTCATTATTTGTACCCGGGTGATGCTGTGAAGCGCATTGAGTTTTGTAGATGGTATATCCAAAAGACGGAAGAAAATATAAATTTTGGGCGTTCAGTGATATGGTCCGATGAAAGCCATATAAGTAGCGCTGGAATATTTAATCGAAATAATAATCATCGTTATTGGTCAAATGAAAATCATCACATTACGGTGGTTCGCCAACAGCAAGGCAGATTCGGCTTTTATGTATCTTGTTTCGTTTATGGAGGAAGACTAGCTAGCCTATCGAATTTTTGAACTACTTGACGAAATTCTGTTGGCTCAATTCCGACACAGTTTCTTCCAACAAGATGGCGCACCTTGTCATAACGCAGGTGCCATCAGGGTTTATCTTGATGAAAGATTTCAAAACCAGTGGATTGGTAATAATGGTCCCATTCACTGGCCGCCAAGGTCCCCTGACTTATCGATATTAGATTTCTTCTTATGGGGCTATATAAAAAATAAAATATATCACACGCGGCATGAAAATCGAGATTCACTGATGAATGCTACGAGAGAAGCTTTCGAATATTTACGTATGAGACCTATATTTTTACTCCGGTCGATTGACGCTATCCTCAGAAGATGTCGGCAGAATGGGCAGCAATTTGAACAATATTTATAAGACATTTCAACAGGAGAAAAATTAATAGAATTGTTTTGTAGTAGTGTTTGAATTTATTGTTTTATCGAATTGTTTTATGTTTAATTGTTTTATCAAATTGTTTTGTTTTATCAAATTGTTTTTATCAAATTGTTAATTGAATAATCGTTTTAAATGAATACTTCTCATTCTACCCTATATAAATGAGTGGTATTTAATTATTTCGCCAGAATATCTATTCTAAAAGTAGAAGTTATTTGTCTTGACTTGCCATAAAAAACTGAAAATTACCCAAATACAGGACTAATGCTCAAAATATCATATGTGTTATATATTTTTAAAAAGCGCAAAGCTTTGTTGTTTCAAATATTGAAAAATATACAGGGTGTTCTATTCAAAAAAACATAACTGAATAACGACAGCTCATTTAAAAAATCTGACTACGTGAAAAATTGTGAAAGAAACAGTTCTTACTTTTCCTCTAAGTTGAAAGAAAGCTGAGATACAGGGGGTTCCAAAATGAAATATTTTCAATTTCGCCCTGTATCTCAGGAACGAAGCGGGCTATGGAAATTTTGTTCACGGTTTCGTGAGTTTCACAAAAAAGTAGCCAACGTTCGCGAAAACCGCAAATCTGTATCTTCAAAAATAAGCGAGATATCCCGTAAGGACATCGAAAATGGGACAGCCTGTACAGTGAATGAAACAATCAATTTTCTTATTTCGTAAACAACTCAACTGACATCAGCTTAGAATATGCGAATCAAACATGAATTTTTTTTGTTAAACAGTATAACCATACTGATCACTTCAGTTTGTAGTTACAGTTTAAGTTTTTTTCTTCATGTAAACACTATATGAATATTTGCTTCTTTGAAACATCTGAAAGATCAATGTCGATGAATGTCCCGAATATTTTCAGCTCATTCGATGAAGGTAATGAGGAGGACCTGCTGTCGCAGCATCTAGATGGCGCTCTAGATGACGAAGACGACCCCGCAGAATTGACAGATGACAGTGACGAGTGTAGTATCTAGCAGACCTGTAGTCATGTGTAAGAATCACAGATATTGTCTTTGAATAGAGTTTATCTTTCGAGAGAAAAAAAAATGAAAAGGATGTGAGAGGTTATGGTGAAATGGCGAACAAAGTTGATGGGATATAAAAGTAGAGGAATATATTGGAAATTTGAGTTGATGTGGAAATCATAGTGATAAATTTTCAGTAATGAACACCAACAATCTTGAAAAATGGAAGAATTCTTGATGACGGTTTGGGACTTGATATTTGGCCTACTTTAAAGTTGGGAGAACTTTGAGAGAATTCTCTCTCTCTCGTGAAACGTTAGAGATACAGGGTCGGTTGAATTATGGCAAGTTGTTTTGATTTTTGGATCGAATATTCGCGAATTCATTTTTACTTTTTTCATTACTCTATTTGAATGGATGTAACGAAACGAATAACACATTCTCATTGCTACTTCTCCTGCTCTACTAGATGGTGTTATCAGATTTTCGAGCCAACGTTTTGTCTCTGAGCTGCCATCATCAACCTATATTTTTTTACAATGGATTTTGAAAGCTTTCTATCTTCTGAAATCAACGGTGTCTCGCACTTATTCGAAAAAGGTGTTTGTTTTCATCCTTATTAAAAATCTTATTCTCTGTCTTTCTCTAACACATGCGTTCTTATAGAGAAGACCACTAATATGAATTTTTCGAATAAGTGCGATACACCATTGGTTTTGGAAGATCAATAGCTCTTGAAATCCATGATGAATAATCTAGTGCCGTATTTGAAATAATAAAGTTGATGATGGCAGCTCAAAGACGAAACGTCGGTTTGAAAATCTGATAACACCATCTAAACTACTCAACACTAATTTCGTCGCACACCGTTGATTTCAGAAGATTGAAAGCTTTCAAAATCCATAGTAAAAAACTATAGGTTGATGATGGCAGCTCAGGGACAAAACGTTGGTTCGAAAATCTGATAACACCATCTAGTAGAACAGAAAAAGTAGCAATGAGAATGTGTGATTTATTTTGTTACATATATTTAAATAGTCATAAAAAAATGAAAGTGAAATAGCGATTATTCGGGTTTTTCCAAAAATCCCTGGAATTATTCCTACCCTGTATCATTTCATTCGGTTTACCAGATCTCAATGATAAGGCTTGAATTCCAGCCACCCTGTACAAATAAAATATTTGAATCTATTATTCTGAAGATAAATTGAGCAGTGCTTTCAACTTTTTTCCTATTTCTCTTATTTTCCTAGGGAGTCGTTAGATATGTATAAGCTTTCAAGGATTTTCATTCTCCATGTTGTCAACATCACTGATTGATTCAACTCAATGGAAAAAAAATTAAGTAGGTGAACTATTATTGGTTGAAATTTGCGAAAATAAATGCCCCAATAATAATTGTAACTTGTTGAGTATTCCATTAACCATTTCTTTTTATTTCACCATCAGAATAAAATTCCACACAACTTGATTGATATCATGAAAATTTGGCAGATAGAAGTGGAGATTTGCCAGGGCCTGTCAAAAATTGTACTATTACCTTTCAAATACCAGTTCAATCGAGCTATAACAAGAAATGCATTCTGCAGTGATTTAAAATGTTCCTAAACTCTGTGTTTTATATTCCTTTTAGTTTGTCCAATGTCGTTCCAGCGAAAACTATTTTAAATCATTTGAGAACATGATGTTATCAAATACTTGAATAATTGTATGTCTTTATGAATATTGTTTTCTTGATGAATGCAAACATATATCTATAACGACACTTCATCAGATTCAATTGCAATGCTCCCTGTTGATTGGCTGAAAACCCTGCTTGAAATGTTTGAGATCCAAGTTAGATATATTATACAGGGTCAGATTTGAATAGATATTTGGATCTCATTATTCTGCACGTCTTCTCTCGATAATTATTACAAGAATAATTTAACTGAAAAAAATACCACTGGAATCTTTTGAATACTATACTTGGACATTTTGCATCTGTTCTATATGTTCCTAAACTCTGTGCTGCAGAAGCCTTGTGATTTGTCCAATGTTTTTCCAACGAAAACGTGTCATTTCAGTGATGTCTGGCAAAAAAAAATCAATTAGTTGACCGGATACAATGCACTATTGTTCCAATTGAACTTGTTATACTGGGTGAATGAAGGAAAACGGCTCAAGCCATAGTGCATTTTCATTGTAGGATTTTGATGAAATGAAAAGTAAATAGAAATATTTCTCGAATACTCTACCATCTCAATCTTCAACAACTGTTCATTTTTCATATGAAAAAAAAATGGATTCAACTCAATGGAAAAATTATTATTAGGTGAAATTTACGAAAATAACTGTCCCAATAATAATTGGACGTGTTGAGTATTCCATTAACCATTTCTTTCTACTTCCCAATCAAAATGAAATTCCACACAACTTGTTTGATATCATGAAAAATTGGCAGATAAAAGTAGTTTTTGGAGATCAGATTCAATTGCAATACTCTTGTTGATTGGCTGAAAACCCTGCTTGAAATGTTTGAGATCCAAGTTATACAGGGTCAGATTTGAATAGATACTTGAATCTCATCATTCTGCACGTCTTCTCTCAATAATTATCACAAGAATAATCTAACTGTGAAAAAATTACCACTCGAATCTCTTGAATACTATACTGGGACATTTTGCATCTGTTCTATATGTTCCTAAACTCTGTGCTGCAGAAGCCTTGTGATTTGCCCAATATATTTCCAACGAAAACGTGTCATTTCAGTGATGTCTGGCCTAAAAAAAACAATTAGTTGTCCGGATACACTGCACTATTGTTCCAATTGAACTTGTTATACTGGGTGAATGAAGGAAAACGCCTCAAGCCATAGTGCATTTTCATTGTAGGATTTTGATGAAATAAAAAGTAAATGAAAATTTTTCTCGAATACTCTACCATCTCAACAACTGTTTATTTTTCATATGAAAAAAAATGGATTCAGCTCAATGGAAAAATTATTATTAGCTGAAATTCACGAAAATAACTGTCCCAATAATAATTGGACTTGTTGAGTATTCCATTAACGATTTCTTTCTACTTCCCAATCAAAATAAAATTCCACACAACTTGTTTGATATCATGAGAAATTGGCAGATAAAAGTAGTTTTTGGAGATCAGATTCAATTGCAATACTCTTGTTGATTGGCTGAAAACCCTGCTTGAAATGTTTGAGATCCAAGTTAGATATATTATACAGGGTCAGATTTGAATAGATACTTGAATCTCATCATTCTGCACGTCTTCTCTCAATAATTATCACAAGAATAATCTAACTGTGAAAAAATCACCTCTGGAATCTCTTGAATACTATACTGGGACATTTTGCATCTGTCCTATATGTTCCTAAACTCTGTGCTGCAGAAACCTTGTGATTTGCCCAATATATTTCCAACGAAAACGTGTCATTTCAGTGATGTCTGGCCAAAACAAAATCAATTAGTTGTCCGGATACAATGCACTATTGTTCCAATTGAACTTGTTATACTGGGTGAATGAAGGAAAACGGCTCAAGCCATAGTGCATTTTCATTGTAGGATTTTGATGAAATAAAAAGTAAATAGAAATATTTCTCGAATACTCTACCATCTCAACAACTGTTTATTTTTCATATGAAAAAAAAAAAGGATTCAGCTCAATGGAAAAATTATTATTAGGTGAAATTTACGAAAATAACTGTCCCAATAATAATTGGACTTGTTGAGTATTCCATTAACCATTTATTTCTACTTCCCAATCAAAATGAAATTCCACACAACTTGTTTGATATCATGAAAAATTGGCAGATAAAAGTAGTTTTTGGAGATTTGCCAGGGCCTGTCAAAAATTCTACTATTACCTTTCAAATACCTGGTTAATTAAGCCATAACAAAAAATGCATTCTGCAGTGATGTAAAATGTTCCTAAACTCTCTGTTTTAGATTCATTCAGTTTGTCCAATGTCGTTCCAGCGAAAACTATTTCAAATCATTTGAGAACATGATATTCTTAAGTACAGTACAGACTCGATAATCCGAACTAATAATCTCTCAATAATTATCACAAGAGACATTTTGCATCTGTCCTATATGTTCCTAAACTCTGTGCTGCAGAAACCTTGTGATTTGCCCAATATATTTCCAACGAAAACGTGTCATTTCAGTGATGTCTGGCCAGAAAAAAATCAATTAGTTGTCCGGATACAATGCACTATTGTTCCAATTGAACTTGTTATACTGAGTGAATGAAGGGAAACGCCTCAAGCCATAATCGTTGACGATGCATTTGAAAGAAAAAATGGAATTTCTCTTGATTGCTTCTTTTTACTCTTCAGTTCATAAAAATCGAGAAATGAAAGACGGTGTTTGATGGCTTTTGGGTCGTTTTTAGGCAGTCACCCTGTACATTAGTCAAACGTAGCTCGTAGTTTTGAGGGAATTGTCTCGCAAGAGGAAAACTCCGCAATACAGGAATTTGCCTAAAAAATGTAATTTGACAACAACAACCCCAGTGAGAAGAGATCGCTAAACTAGTTTTATACAGTGTGATCTTTATATTTGATGCAAAAGTATTTTGTATTATGTGACGCGTAACTGTTTTTGTAGCATTTAGATTAGGGAAAATGTATGTGGTTTACTCTCTAGTCCATATTTTACTTAGAAAATGTTAGTTTTTCTCCATCTTGTGTGGACTATTATGGTAGTCCGAACTTATCGAGTGAATCTCTGATACAAAGGTACTCAGTTATAGCTGTCAGTTGGTTTTTTTTAATTGTTAATCTGTCTTAGGATATTATTTTCGAATAACTTGACAGCGAATTTATAGCTTTAGTATTTTGAATGATATTTGAGATGTTCGTAATAGGTGATTTTTTTCACTATTTTAAGCAGCTAATTGTTGGATTTGTATAGTATAGTTTATTTAACAGATTTGTTTAACTTTTTAATAGTATCAATTTTACTAGTCATTTCTATAATTATTTATATGTATTTATCGAATTATAAACGTTGTATAAAAGTTGTTTTATTATTATTATAGATGACTTAATATATTGGTTTTCTCTTACAAAGT